GCTAGACTGCATCCGCTTGTTGATAGTAAGCTCCGTGAGCCGTGCGATCGTAGAAGCATTTTTAGTGTTTTTGGCTGAAGTTTAGGTGTAGTCGAGCAGGGTACCTAGTAGTGCGGTGAATATCTACAATTTCTACGACATATTCACTGGAACCACGTGGTGTCGGGTGCCGGGATGGGAACTGTTAGTGGAAATGGGTTTGGTGTTTGCGACCAAACGTCAAGAGAGCAGAGGAAAATTCGGTAGACTGGTGAACTGTGCATTTAAAGGCGAACGGGCAATGTGGGATGAGCTAGTCCCAAATATCAGTGTTAACTATGGAAATGAAGGCACGTAGGAGGGATAGGAGAGATGTGTTGGTCTTTTCCGTTTGACCGTTACCCATAGGGCGGTAAGAGGTTGTGCGTGTTTTCACGCAGCCCATAGCCTTACAGAAACCTTTGAAAATCCGAATCTCAAAGTTGAATCCCTGATCGGAATGAATCTAGTCAGGAAACCTGAACCGAGAGACCCAGTTATAAATGACGGAGTCGGCAATGGTACGAACCGATTCCACTCATTTGAAAAAGTAGTCGACCACGACCAGGAGGTACATGCTTTCCAGACGTGATTGTGGGAATAGGGCCATTATGTCCATACTTACTCTTTGGTTTACATAACCCAAGGTAGTTGGTTGAAGCAAGGCAGTGGGACGGTAACTGGGGTCCTTTAGTAAAAAATTGAGACAAGAAGGACATAGAAGAGAAACTTCACTTCTTGATTCCGGTGACCAGAAGCGTTAGCGAGCTGCTTAATCTAGTATACCTTGTTTGCGGTAGCTCAATTGATTATGAAAATCTATGAGAACAGCTCGTGCTACTGATTGGGGAGCCACTAGACAAGTAGGGAAAATGGTGTCGTAGTGAAAATAAAGAATGTTATCGCGGAGAAAGAGGCTGCTCTTCAAGGATTACAGCAAGTGGGCAACTTAACTTTAGCTGAAGGTTTACGTTGACCGTGAATTTGTCTCTCATTAATTAGGGCACTGCCTGGATTCATTGGTTGCAGCTTTGCCGGATTTGCAGTGTTAACGTGGACTGTGCTGATGTTAACATCGCTTAGACCAACTTCGGTGTTGGGAATCGATTTAAGGGTCGAAAGTCGAGAAAGTGCGTCTGCCATTGGGCTAGGTGACCCCCCGATTCTTTAAAAAATTATAACCAGGCGAGAGCTTGACGACTGGTTCTAATCATGAAGAATTTTTTCCCTAAGTTACACGGCAACCTTTAAGCAAACGTAATAGTCGCCAAGAGTTCGAGTTTAGTGATGCTGTAATTGCGTTCAGTCCTGTCTGAGGCCCTGTTTGCATATGCTATAACGTGTTCTGCGCCATCAGTTCGGCGTTGGTAGAAGACAGTCCCTGTAGCGTGGCTGCTAGCGTCTGTGTCCAGAATATATGGTGGTACCTTGAAGTCTAGATTCGAAAACATAAAGAAGGGGGCCGCGGTTAGTGCTGGTTTGGGTTGCATAAAGGCCCTCACGCATTCCGTCGACAAGTCAAAGGACCTGCCTTTCTCCTTAAGCCGTCGTAGGCGAAAAGCGATTCGGCTGCACACAGGGATGAAGCCGCGGCAGTAGCTGGTCGGGCCTAAGATCGAACGCAATTCGTGTGCAGAAGTTTGGATGCGTTAGTAAAGAATGGTGGAGTTGATGGAATAAAGCTAGACTAATTTTATGAAGCGAAAAAGGTTTGGTTTCAGTAGAAGCTGTTATGTAAGAAGCGATACAGTTTGCTATGTGATTAACGACGGCAAGAACTTCATCCAGTGGCCGTGAGACTTTGCCTAAAAATTGTTGGCGCAAAGTGAGAAATTGTCATGGAAATCGAAGGGAGGGGGCTGGGATGGGATATGTTTAAGTAATAATGTAAGTTGTGAGGTTGAATTTCATAAAAAATATCTCTGAGAATCGGAAAGTGTTTTGTGAGTGCAGAAATGAGCATTGTGATAAATCAGTGACGCCATCCATCAAAAGCTCACAGAAATGAACAAAGATATAGTTTCCTATGCATGTGATGCAAGGCGTTCGCCAATTCAGGCTGCTTAACCAAACACGACAGATGCCTTAAATTTTTATTTAGGTTTTGCTTTAGATGTGTTTTAGATGTTGGTAGTGAAAATGATATTATTTAATATAATCTGGCTTCCTTAACTCATATTAATGTTTCCATAATTACGAAATTAAATATTTATTTCAAAAAAATTAAAAATTTTTTTGCTCTAAAACCACTTTGTTGACCAATTTTACCTTTTTTTCTGCATCTTTGCTCTTTGACTTTGGTTATATATTGTTTATTGATTTGGTTTTAATGGCGGCCTTGTTGACTTCCAACGCGCTATTTTGAGCGTGTGTGGCTTTTTTGTCCCAATTCCAGTAACTAAGGTTTGAGTATTCGAGAGCTTATTATATCACAATAATAACGTTTCTAACCCGTTGCAGTTGGTGCAATATATCGATTTTTTCTATTTTCGTAAGAATCTGTTGCTATAGTCTGTTTTTGGATGTTGCTTTGAGCCTCAGAGCATAGAATTACGTCAACAGCTTGGTTTGGCACCAATGTAGACAAGTAGACAAAGTTTCGGGAAGTTTGCACTGATTTTAACGTGCTTTTATTCGTGTGAGGTGTATGAAAATTACGTTTTGGGATGGTAGCAAACTCTGTTCATCAAATTGCACCACGATCGTGTTAACAGGTTGTTCATTGCTGCTTTAACAAATTATACATTTGTATTAGAACAACAAAATCCACCCAATTACGTCCCCTTTTTTGTCACTGACTCTACGTAACTTCTTTTTCTGGTTCTCGAAACTGTCTATTCTCCGTATTTTCTACTCCTTTTTCTGCTTCATTTTGTTTGTCATTAATTATGTAACATCTTTGTTAAGTTTTTTCTAAATTATAGTTTAATCTGGTAAAGAATGCAGAACTTCTCTCACACCATATGGATGGGTGATGTAAGCCTACTCTTTAAACCTCATGCCGAGTTCTTTAGTTGGAACCCTTCATGGACGAAGCTTTCATCCGACAAGCGTTTGAATTCCACGATGAAAAGGTTGTCAGTGTAAAGATAATTCGAAATAAAGCGACAGGTCAAACTCTCGGTTATGGCTTCGTAGAATTCCAAGATGGTGTTGCTGCTCGGGATGCTATGTTGAAGTTGAACGGAAAACCAATTCCAGGCATTCCTGTAAGTGTGTTTTCGCAATCAGTATGTTTTGTTGTCACAGAATTACATTGAAGTGAAGTCGTATATGCAGTTGACAGTTTAATGTTCCAACTGCCTATTAGCTTCATTGCGCGTGATTTGGTGCCCACGTAATCTGTTAGCACTTGCTATCTTCTAAACTTGTCTTTTGTAGACGCGGCGCTTTAAGCTCAATCACGCTAGCTATGGAAAGGACAGTACTGCTGGGTATGCGGGTTATATTTCCCAATAACTTATTTTATCATAGAGAATATTCGCTTTTCGTTGGCGAGCTAACCGAAGATGTAGACGATTTGATTCTCTTTAACGCCTTCAAAAAGTACCCATCCTGTCGCTCGGCTAAAGGTAACCTTCCTCTAAGTTTGTGCCACTTATTCTGAGCTACCTCAGCTTTTCATTTTGATTACTCGCATTGCCAGCAGCCATGAATTATAAAACCACATTTTGTATGACTTAATTTGAGGCCTTTCTCTACTTGAGTCGTCACACGGCCACCAACCCAGTAGACCCCAAAGTGATGCTTCTGCTGTTTTAATTTAATGAGTACCGTGTTTGTCTATTGTCAATCTTATGATAAGCTACTTTGCTTTAATCTGACCAAGCAATAATTCACCTTTGGTACTCGTCTGCCTATTGCAACTGTCAGTCTCTTTTATGCTAAGGTATCTGAAGGTTGATTCTCATGGACGAATGTATAATTTGAGCAGAAATATGCATTTTTTGCTATCACATTCTCCTATTACCTCTAGTTGTTATGAACAATGGCAAGAGTAGGGGCTATGGATTTGTCAGGTTTGCGTCAGAGGCTGATCAGGATAAGGCGTTGATAGAGATGCAGAATTTCTGTGGTCTTGGCTACAAACCAATCCGCGTGAGTCTGGCCATTCCGAAGCGCTACACTGCGGACGGACAGCTCATTCAGGCAGCTAAAGACGAACAGGCAGCCGCCTCATCATCACTTCTACCCAGTGGTACGTGCTGCTTTTGCTTTTACGCGCGTAGTTTCTAATGCTCGTTTAACAACAAGAGCTCCTGTGTTGTTGGTCCCACCCGCGGTAGAAATCTAGTCACAGTGGCAGCTAAAGCCATTGTTATGTCGTGCAATTGGAAGAAGGTGTGCTTTTGGGGGTTCCGCGCGTTCGAGGGTTAACTGACAACGACAAAACGTCACTACTATTGTGCGTGTATGCTTCTTTTCCAAGGTGTTCCCGATCCCTTCACCGCGGCAGTGGCGGCAGCAGTGAGCGGCAGTTCACAGGCCCAAGCCGACTACTACCAGGCCTATCAACAGTACTACCAGCAGTACTACGCCGCGCAATACGCGCAGTACAGCTACGCGCAGAACAACGCGTCGGGCGACAGCGAACAGTTGGTGGCGCAGGCCGTCGCTTCCGCTGCCAGTCTAGCCACCTCCTATGGCGGTGTGTTTGCAGCCGCTGCTGAGGATCCGCTTCATGAACACATTCCCGGTGAGAGCAGACGGATTTTTTACTACTTGCCTCGTTCGCAACCCTACAACATAAAGAAGCAGTGAGACGGTGGTATGACTAGGAGTGTACACAATTGTTTGTTCACTTCATAGTCGGGATGTGTGGTGTGATGGCTGACGGTCCACTATAAGTGAGGGAGTGCCTCGTGCACCATGGCAGGCGCCAGACAGCTGTGTGCGTTTAGTTTGATTCAGATGCATATTGTGACTTATGTTGTTCGCAGTTTTACGTTAAATTTGCTTCTATCTGTAGCATTCTAACTCTCATTGCAACCTCATTACTGAAACTAAGGGCCAATTGCTCCGTAAACTAGCAAACATTTTATCGATAATGGATTAGTCTTACTAGCAATTGTTTTGCCACCTATTTACAAGTGTCCAGCATCGATTGATAATGAATGTTTTTTTGCTTTTCCTTAGATCCATCATCGCTCTCTGCAGCCTTTGACCGGCCTCGACACATTCAGGACATCGACGAGTGTTTCCACTTTCTTGAGTCCTCCAGATGGGACTTCTCTGACCCATCTCTCCCTCTCCTCATTGCTACAATTCCACAATAAACTCCACTGTGTATCATACACCTAATGGCATATTGTACTGTGTATAAAGTCATAAGGGGTCCCCTATATTCTAGTTTTCCCCGATTTATCAGTCATTTCAAATGCAAGACTCGGAGTGGAAGCAAAGCTTATTTGGAGGGTGCCTTGTTTCGTATTTCGATTGTCAAAATCAAGTATCTGCAATTGAAACCCTGTTGCTCGTTGTCCAGTTTATTTATCTCTTTTATAATTGAATTATCTTGGAAAATTTGAATGCTCGCTGAAACGAATGCAATGTTTAAATTTGGTTTGTAGATTCATTAATAGTGCACACCGCTTAGATGGCAGTATTGGACCTAGATTCACGTCATGTCAGGTGCAGATTGCACCCGGACTGAGGTGGAACAAAAAATTGTGGGTAACGGAACCTGGTGTTATGCTGGTCAGAAGTTGAGGAGATCCCTGTTTTATTCGTTACTGTTAGCTGTCTCCTGTTACGCCAAAAAATCTAATAAAAGGTCGTGTACGAATCAACCCTCATCTCAGGATTTTGCGCGTTGTTAATTAATAGAAGCGTAAAAATGCTCGCTCGGGCTAAATCATCAATAACCAAGTTTTGTCATGTCAACGAAGATGCACTGGTCTTTTTATACTGCAAAACATTAACCTAAAAGATATATGTTAGTAAGATAATGCAGTTAACGAATTACAACAAATAAAATGAATTCAAGAAAACTTTTTATGGTAAAAAATGTTCCATAAACACTTAAAGAATTTTGATAATTTTGGTAGACATTGTGCTAAAGTCATTTTTCCATAAGCCTTACTGCAATCACTGCTAGGCTGAGAGTTGTCAAAAGGTATCATAGATAAAATATGCATGTGCAAAAGCATTAAATGATTCATTACAAGCTAACATTTTTCACTGCCCTTTTCAAGCATGCGTTTTTCGTAAACTCGACTTTTCTTTTCAATAAAAACTAAACCATCACGTAATAAAAACTGTAACCAAAAATGACAAACTAGTTGAACAGTAGCTTCATAATTTTGATCAAACGAGGTATTTTGCCATAATCAGATTTATATTAGCAGTAGCTGCTTGCAACTGATTCATCTAAAAATAACGCAGGAAAAATAGCCAAAAATAATCAAAGTCATAACCAAAATATTTAAACGCTACTTGCAATACTATCAAAGGGCCCATTAGAAGCTTAATACGAAACATAGAGGAAGTTGGTTCGTTCAAACAGGCGATTATTTTCATGTAATTGATTAATAGAATGGATATAGAAAACAATGCAAAATGCCCAAACTTAAATTTAGTACCTGTATTTCATAACTTTTAAGTAAATACTTTTTTATGTCACCATAAATTCACTATTTATATTACCCTTTGCATTTTTGCATAAATGACGTCTGGGCATTTCGCGTCACCCTTAATACTAATTGGAAATTTGGCGCGGCATATTAAAAAGTGTGTATTTTCGTGACGTCGGTGTTGTTGTTCACGCATTCTTTTCTTTGGTATTTCTAAGAATTAAGTAGGTAGGCATGAATAATTAATTTGAATAGTATTTATTATCATATATTTTAATACTAAGAAACTCATAAATTGTCTTCGTTCTCCGACTTCCCTTGAGTAGGCTTTAATATTAATAATGAATAACTAGATAGGCAGCGTCCTGAAAACTATGGCATTCAATAATATTTATATCGCATAATAAACTGCATAACGTGACTCTAACTTTATTTAATTATTACACCCCGAACAATCTAGGTTGTTACCGCGTGAACATTTTGCTGTCTACTGAATTTATTAACAGTCTATTATTTATGCATTGCGCTCCTCTCAGTTTTGTAGTAGACTTTTGTTTCTATTGACATGTGAGCTGTCACAGGTTTGTACAAATCCTACCGCGTATCTTCGACTTTTTAAAATGCTCAAATTGTGTTCCTCTTTGCCGCACTTTGATGTGAGGCCATTAGAATGCCTAAACCGACCCGCTTGTTGGACGCTGACGCAAATGAATTTTATATTTAGCAGCACCATTCTGTCTAAACGTAACATCCCTGACTTTTGGATAAATCAGTCTATTTTACCTAAATGATTCTCTGTTTCATTCCTTCTTACTTCTCTACTCCAACGTCAAATCGAATCTTCTGAAATCCTTGAACAGTTCACGATGAGATGAAGGGGAAATTGGCTTTTAAACAAAATCAGGCGGCATCGCTACCCCTGTTGTTTTATGAGTCCAAGACTCATGATAAGTTCCTCATTAGTTCAATTGGCTAAATTTACTTCCTTTCTTTTCTATGTCCAACTTTGGCAGCTTTGTACCGGCTTGTAATTGCTAGAATATAATGGAAAGTGATTCGACTGTGCCGGCGACTGACGATTTTGAGTCCAGATTTCTGGAGATGGATGACGACGAAGACACAAGTGATTTTGTAAGTTCTTTGCCGTAGAAGTAATGTGTATGATTTTTTTTAAAACGTTAAGGCATATCTAGTTTTAGCATATTTAAGCCAAATTAGTCTTGTCATAGACCTCATAGTTAAAATACGTTTTGAGTTCCGATCTACGTTTTTGATGATAAACGCAGTTTACCACTTCTTCATAAGGAAATTTCGTCGATGGAATCAGCTGTGAGCACGCCTCGCTCATCAGCACCCTCAAGATCTGGAAACAGAGGTCGACAGCGGCAGACACGAAGGACTTCCTCAAAATCAACCAAGCCTAATCGGCCAGTTCGTCATGGGCGTCGGCCACCAGCTCGCGTCGCGGAGGTTTACGCTGACGCCAGCGACAGTGACAGTGAACCCTCCCCTCCGACTTTACCTACGCCCAGTGCCCGCAGCAGGACGCGCACCGGCTACCTGAGCTCACAAAGCTCCCTCTGGACCCTGGAGGACGTGATGGTGGGCGGAGATAGGTCCACAGACCAAGCCGCCTTGCCCTCTAATCCGACGCCCACGCCAGAGCAGCTGGAGATTCGTCAACGTCGAATTGAACGTCGTCGTGAGTCGGCCAAAAACAAGGCTGAAAAGGAAATGCAGGACACAGTTGAGCGGCTTCTTAGGGTACGCGGATTCGTTCGACGTGTGTTTTTTTTAATCCTCTGTCTGTGGTCCGACTTAATGTTCTTATCCTCTCTGACGCAGGTGAACACCGAGTATGCAGGAAGTTACGCCAGCTCTGGCCGAGGTGGGCGGGGTCGCGGACGGCGCCCTGTGATTGGTCCGACTGATGCCAATTCCGACTCGGACGCCGCGAAGGAGGGCGGCGACGCGAAAAACGCCCTCCATCCCTCTCTGCCTCTTGACCCTCCTCGCGGCACCCTCCGCTTTATCTCCTCCCACCGTCTTCGACCTCATTGCGTTTTGGCGCTTCCCACGACGGTGGATTCCGACGCCTTTCTGCCCAAGGTCGCTCCACCACCTCCCAAGCAACGACTGTGTGAACAATGCGAAGCCGCGCCTCGACGCTACGCTTGCCCCACTTCTGGACGGTCGTTATGCAGTTTGGAGTGTTTCAAAGCCATGACGGCTTGTTGATGGTTTTTCATAAGACGCAGATTAAACCGCATTTGTATTGTATTTTGTAAGGCGAACGTCGACTTTTTGAGGTAATTTTAACTTGATTTGTGTATTTCTCATTCCTGACGTTGCACTTCGGGGTACTTCGGGGGCACATGCTAATGCTTTTATGATGAATATGAAATAGCCAGACTTGTCATCTATTCTACTTTGCGCGATATGTTCATTTGCTCTCACAAATAGGGAGTTGCACCAAATTTCCAAGGTCATGACTGCGCGTGTGAAGATACCCGAAGTTACTTCATGGTAATCGCCTGGTTCCCTGGATGTATTTCGGCATACTCATACACCACGATAGTTTTAGGGTGTAGTTCACGAAATAACAGAATGATCGTTTTGGATTAAAAGGATTGTAGGCGATGCACTTTGCACAGCCAAGGCCGATTCTAATGCCTTTAAAGTACAAATGAAAGGAATGTGATTGGCCGTGTTGGATAAATTCCTTCCAGTTCATCATGAATTTATTCCGTGTGACTGTGATGTACTCAAACCCTGCCGTACAATGTGATTATTTTTGGTCATCATCAACAGCAGTTGGTCAACTTTCAAGGAATAACCTCCTGAACGCCATTTCCACACTAACCCCCAAAAGCGGATTACCTGAAGCACTTCACAACACTGCGATCGTCGCATCCCTTTTTCGCTTCATCAGGTTTCTCGAATTCACAGAATCGATCTAGTAAGAGGTGTTGTAACAGTTTGTTATAGCCAAATGCGTCAAAACGAATGACCACATTCGCAAGAAGTTCAAGCATCCATAACTCTCCGACTTTTAGTGGCAACCAAAATTTCGTATTTCTTCAAATCGTGAGTAGATTTGCTCATCAAACACACGCGGTGACACGGAGTCTTCATAGAGGCGTGAGCCAGAACTCAGCTGTTTTATTGCAGCAGATGACGCGCGGTCATTTTTTTTCGATTAGGTTGCAGCACACGCGGTTTTTTTGTCCTCCCGTATCGTACCGCGTTCCTCAAGGCAACCCTGACCCTTCTTGCAATCATCGTCTTTCTTAATCCCAGGTCTAACCCGCTCCGTACGGTCTAGCTTCTCTGCATTTGTGTACTGTAGTCTCGAATACATCTGTTTTCTACCACATAACTGGTAGTCAACCCTAGGGTTGTGGTTACCCCTATCCCTGTTACTACATAGGAAAGTTATTTACGACCGACAGTTCAACCACTGAACTGATCTCATTGCGTGAGTAGCCACGAGAACTGAACTGATCGATTTTACTTGCGTTCACTCATGCCTAGTCAGGACAATCTTGAGCTTATCTCACATAAATGAAGTTATTTCCCTAATTGGTCCGTAAATTCTGACGACTTAACCTTTTCTTTCAATGGGGTATCTGGTAGGCAGTAGAATCACCTCCCGAAAGAGTACTTTGTTTGGGTACATTCAGATATGGGGGCTTCCTAGTTTTAGTTTGTTTCCTGTGACCACGCTTGAGATGATCTCAGGCAACTAGTTATCGCATGCTTCGGCAATTTGAATGGATGATGCTCTAACCCTCATTCAGGGCTGAAAATTCAACGCCGTTACATCCTTGGTGACATGGCCAGGTCCAATCACTTATGTCGAAGCAAAGCCGATCACAGCTTGACTCACCACTCCACATCGTCTTTTATTACCAGGAGTTTGGACTTCAAATAAAGGGTGTTCACGCTCGAAAATATCTCAAAATCGTTGGTGAATTTCCATTGCAATCCATGAATGAATACGTCTTAAGTGTGCCAACTTTGGATGTAACGCCACGTTGATGAAGTCTGTGTTCAAACGAACACCGACACACAGTCTAAATTAAAATCACACATATTTTCCGATTCGTGCCTCGTGTCGTAGTCAAATAGCGATCGCAGCCACGTGTGAGAGCGTAGTCGCTTGAGTTGCTAATACATTGGCCACCCCTTCTACTGCTCAGTCGCTTTACAAAGCCACCAATTTTGAACAAATCTTGCTTGCTAAGCACAGTTGCAATTTAAGGAAAACCGAGTATACGTACACTGTAAGTGTACTCAACCAAACACTGACGAATTTTCAAAAGAACAAGGCAGGAGTTGAATACCGGCCAAAAATTTAAAAGGAAGTCCGTCATATGCTCCCTAAAAGCTCTAAAAGTGCTGCAACTGGACAGGGTTTTTTTTTTCTATGGAGATGTGTCTTTGTTTAATGCCAAGTAGTTTCTCTGCAGGCGATTAATGTTCGTCTGGCACAGTCGAGTCAATCGAAAAACGGCAAATCGACATGTCAAGTAGACATAATTGGAAAACATCTCAGGTGTTATCTGTTTGTACGACCAAATACACAGCACTCTAGGCAGTTCTTTCTAAATTGCAGCTTCCAAATCAGCCAATCCGACCTTCTGGTCACAACGACTGCTGATGAGAACGTGGTATGCAAATAAACAGTCCTTGCAATGCTACTCCGTTCATTGGCTCGTCGTCTGACCAATTACATTCTTCCAGTAGGTCCAGCTATATAAACATGTAACCGGCGTAAGTGTATCCAGAGTGGCTGTCATGGCGCCCTGTGCACGGTTCTATTATTTTGCTTATGGAAGCAATCTGCTAAACCAACGCATCATTCTTTCCAACCCGACTGCGTTGTTCGTCGGTGTGGGAAGGCTAGCCAATCACCGTGTAGCATTTCGCTCACGTGACGAGGCATGCGCGTGGGGGCCCCACAGTGCCACAGCCACCATTGAACCAAGTGTCGATGATTGCGTCTACGGTGCTGTCTGGACACTGGCGCTCGATAACATGGGGACCCTAGATAAGCAGGAGGGTGTGCCTAGGCTTTATCGACCTCTGGAAGTTACCGTTACCGTTCCCTCTCGTGGAAATGAGGTAATTTGGACTAGCATTTCTTTGCACACTAAATTTCTGTAGTCTATTGTCTGCCGAACGTACAAGATGCTTAATGCCACTCCTGGACTTCCATCGCCGTACTACCTAGACATTATTTTACGTGGTGCCGTTCAATCGGGTTTACCGCAGGAGTACATTGCTGAACTGCGAAAGCATTCATGCAACGACTACCTGGGCAAATGCAGCGTCTACGGGGAGTGCTTATCTCTTATGCCGGACGATGAAATGCGCAAGTTCGAAGTCGATAAACTAAGGATCTTTTTTGAATCGAGGGAGCCTTCATTTTAATTGCAATTTCAAGAAATAATGAACCTACTTTTCTACTTCATGTTCATATGTTCTCATTTATCCTTTGTAATTCTCCATATGACCTCGTTAAATTTCGCAGATGTGAAAGCCATCTTCGCTTAAACTCATCAAGGTAAACTGGAAGATGTGTAAGGTGATGCATCCTGGTTTGTAAAAAATCCAGTTGTTAGGATTTGCTTAAAAAAATTGCGCTCGCAGTCAGCGCGGTGTAGAATGCTGAAGCCGCCAGGTGAAATCGATATTTATTGATTTTTCCGTGTGCTTTACGCGCATTTGTTGAATGCGGCGGTTAAAGGGATGTTGGGTACGAACTTTTACTGACGATTAAACCTTGCGACTTAGTGCGTTTAGAGTGAATTTCGGTCCATCCTTTATGATGGGTTCTATTGTAGCGTAAAATAGACTAATTCCATATTTGACCGTATTCGCTGTAATCAATAATTTGATCAGGGCAGTTCCGTTAAAATTCCTTCCTGTTTCTTATACATTCACACTTTAGCATGAAACAAAAGTTAGGCTGTTATTGTTAAAGATTGCTTCAAATGATCTCGAGTGCGATTACGTTAAGTTACCGCTCCTAGTCACCAAACATTCTGCTCATTCCAATCACTAACTGTTTGTCGAATTTCCAAAGTACCACATTCTCAGAGGACACCAGCTGGTCATTTAAAGATAACAGGATATAAACGGCAATGACAGTGTCAATTTTTTGTCTGGCAATCAGTACGCGAACATTGTTGCCAAGCCTGAGCGATCACGAATTCAATCGATTATCTTGATTCCACTTCATGTAGCGTTATTCGTGTAGTAGTTTGGTTGCACAAACTTACAATCCTGTTAGTTAACAACCCGAGAACAGAGACAAGAGAACGACGGACACGACGGTTTATTAGCGTCACGTTAGCTAAGTGTGCCTTCTTGTGTGGATGGGCGTGCGTGCGTAAAAGGCGACTGATAACACTTACCAATGAGGAACGCAGATGAGTCATTTAAATCGATATCTCTGTAAGCAAGCTCCACTCACGTGCGATCGCTGACAGTCCACTACATTCGTTCAGAAATCAATGTCTAGATTTCCTATATAAAGCGAGGTCATGTCTTCCAAAAACCACCACACACTTACGGTTTGAGAGCTGAAATGATTTGATTAGTTGGGGCTTGCAAATATGGTGAGGGATTCTACAGAAGGAGGTCGTTGGAATTTATTTTAGAGAATCTGATTGGCACGAGTCACTAGTACATGAACAGTTCAACTAAGTTGATGTAACAGACCTGAAAGTATTCGTCCGTATTATCGTTGCACAACCCATGACGGTGGACGCTTGAAGGATTAGTTTTCCATTCCAAAAGTTAACGTAATTTTAGACGCCAGCAGAAAGTTGCAGTCACCATTTACTAAGACCTTTAAAATCATCTGGAATTGCCATTTCCGAGAAGGAGGCTGTAGGCTCTGATACGTTAATAGCAATCTTCCTCAGTAACTTGGTTGTCATGAATCTTTTTGGGTTGCTAATCTCATCAATAAATTTCGAAAAAAGCCCGCTAAAGCACAAATGGCGCTAAATTTGTCCCTGAAATTCCCATTCTGATAGGACAAAATCGGCTTCGTAATGAAATTTTATGTTATGCGGCAAGCAAAACTGATGGTAAAATAGTTTGAATCTGAAACATGAAAAAATTTAAACCCTACTTACCTCCACTAATTAAAAATTTCACAGGATGGGCGTATTTCCAGGCTTTATTTCAAGTTTAGCTTTCATGATTTGTTCTTTTTTAAAATTGTACTCATTGTCTGCCGATATTGCCCAGTTTAGATTTTAAAGGAGTTCGCCTTGTCTTGATTGCAAATGAATTTCTCAATCAATTGATTGAGTTTTGTGTGCATAAATATTCATAAATGTTTTTAAATAGTCTGTGAATGCAATAACTTTCATCAGTGTTGGTTTCTGATGGGTTGCTATGTGGCTGAGCCCCTGGCGTGAGGTGAAAAATCCCACACTGCGTCATCCCCTGCTGGCATGATCAAAAATGTCCTATGTCCATCACAACCTGGCTTCTTGCTGGTTTTCTTTAAATCATTGATCTTTCTTAGGCCAATTGAAATGGTTATTGATAACTATGAATGCGGCCTTTGGAGCGTTCATCAGATATTAATTTTTCCACAAAAGTCATGAAATTTTTTTCCAAACCAATCAAATTCTGCCTTAATTTCATCCTGTAGGCCGTTTACTTTAACGCGAAATAAATTAAGGCTTCGTGTTTACGTTAGGCCGAACACCCAGTTCCAGCCACGTAATCACTCTGCTTTATGACAAATTTTTCCGATGCGGAACCGCAAACGGGAACCAATTAAATGTGAAAGTATTTACAAACTCAATCAATCTTTATTCAAACCCATTGGTTTTGCCGCTTCGAATGTTCAATTACTTGAACTGTTCACACATCGTGGTCGTACATCATTTTTTTGTTTAGACTGGGTGTACAAGACAAACGTTGAGAGTTGAAGAACGTTAAGACTTGTAAACACACAATTTGGAATTCAAAGGCAGTATTAGAGTTTTAATTTATGAGTAAATTAACCGGCACAAAACTGTTTTTTACATAAAAACTCAGTGAATATACATTGTGATGTCATGTTCTCCAAAGGATTTGGTCAAAGAGCCTTCAAAGTTTATAAATATAAACATAAAATTTCAATTTTTAACCAAATTTCCACTTTACGCAAGCCTTTAGTGAAATATTTAGGAAAAGCTGTTTTGCAACAAATTTTAGGAAAAGGTTGCATATTTAAACACCAAAATACGCAAATGCAGTATTTAGCTTGCGTCAAAAATTTTCAGCGGCGGCATAGGAGATTTAACTGTCTTTCCAAATGACCAGTTATTTTATCTAAAGGAGTCCGTATAAATGACTTTTTTGACAAGATATAAAAATAATAAAAAATCGAACATAGCTGGTCGAAATAAACGAGGTTGCCGGTTCCCAAGTGAATCAACATCATAAGAAGATCTTAGATTGACATCAGCTTTTAAAAGAATGGTGAAATCGGAGGGGTTTTCGTAGGGTTTGTGACCATTTTAATAAACTTTGAAGCAACGGTTCAGCAGTTGTTCTCAGTGAACTTCTTTCTGTGGCATTTTTTAAATATCAAACGGATCAGTAGAACGGTGAATTACTAGCGCCACTAGAATAGCACTAGAGGTCTCTCTTAATGGCCATTTGTAAAGTGTTTTTTGATGTTCAATAGGCACTGTGACTAAGTGAAGTACACCAATGTGCGGTAAATATTCCGTTTCCCGTAAGTCCACACTTTTTACACCAACAAAACAATCTTCTGTGTTAATAAGTTAGATATTGATTAGGCGTGAATGATTGGCTTTCACACGTGCAAAATGTTAAAAAATTTTCTGAAAAGTAACGAAAACTGATGTTCCGATTATGTGCAAAGTGACTGCCGGGAAGATTTTGTGAGACCGGGAAGCCAACACGAAATTTTTATTGTAAAAATTGGCTCAGCATTGTGAAACTAAAATTTTTTATGGATCCAGTTATAAAAGAAATTTTTTGGTGATATATCTGCTGAATTTCGCGTGCGCAATCAGTGTACCTTGATCGACTGATAATGAGTCTCTGACATACTAAAACAAATCTAAGTTTATAAATTGGGTTTTAAGTGCTTTATTTTTCTAGGAAACCTGTATGAGGTAAAAAAGTGCTGCATGAGTGTTTACGTCCTTTTTATCATTTGTTTTAAATGCGTGGGGTTTAATTTCTGCGCTCGTAAAACTGGGTTTAAAAAGTTTGTATAATGGTTCGTTCGGGGGTTGACTCTAAACAGGCTACTGACAACACCTGCATTGCCTCAATTGAAGCATTGATCTCGTATTCTCTGAAGGTAAGTTTTTTTTACAATTTGTTGTTATGCTGACTTTTTGGTTATTGAAAAGAAGGGTCACCAACGTCACTGAATGCTTTTAAGCATGCCCGAAACTAGGCAGTTTTTTCTTTTTTGGCATAAAAATCTCCGACCATATCTGCAATTTTCCATATCCTGCATTTACGCTCCAGTTTTCTTTCATCAGCTGTTAGAATCCGCCGAAGCCTCGGATAACGCAACCTCAAAAATGTTCATGTGCTTAGAACAAAAATGCATCGACTATGAAGCTAGATGTCAGTCACTTCGTGAAGAGAAGGATAAACTACTAGCTGAAAAGGTCAGTTGTTAAAAGACATGGAAAAATATTGTATCGCAGTACTTGCATTTTACTGTATGCATTACTATTATTCTAGAATTCTATTTACGATGCACTTATGCGCATGGAAGAAAATAATCGAAGCCTAAGTGAAGAAGCTCAGCGACTTCAACGCCAACTAGAAGTAATACGTGAAATTATTCGAGACAACGATATTGATGAGGTAAAACAGCGTCTGGCCCAGATCGAAGACTGCAGTCGTGTGCGTCTGGCTACGCCAAAGCGTACAAACGGTCGAACCGAACATTCTGCTGGATCTCTCCTTGATTCCGATAACACTTCATCCTGTGGTTCTGACCGAGGGAGACCAAAGAGATCGAGGTAAGTCAAAATTTGGTTTTAAAAGTGATTATTCGTGTTAAACAAGTGAAAAAGTATCCCCTTGTAGCTGGACCGAAACCTTGTGCGGATATTTTTCGAGCTACATTGTCCAGCGTTCTCCCGTTAATTCGGAAGTACGCATTGTCGGTGCTTTTAATATTCACGGTTATTTGCGTTTCCTTTGTTAATAATGTGCGTTCTTTGTTCTTTTTATTTGGCAACTAATGTACTAGTTCAGGCCCATTCGTTTCAGAGGCTCAAGTGGTCGCAAGGTATCCCAATCTGGAGACGCCCTTCGTCGGTCGGCTCGTCTCAGCGCCAAACGTCAAGGTGTCTCGTTCCTGGGTTACGATTCGAGTAATGTAAGTGATATTTGGTCAGCACTATCTCATGTACGTATGCATTTTGATCCTACTTAAAGGAGCCACGAATAATGCACAGGTAGTATTTGTTTTTCGTTTTCTTTATTCAGTTTTTTTGTATATTTACTCTTCGGCTCCAACGTCATGCATAGCAAGTATATCTGATGGTAAACTAATTTTGTGAATGAAGTGTGGTTAATTGTTACCCGGTTATTTCGTCAGGTTGCTCCCAATGTCGTGGCCACTGCACCACCACCAACGCGCAAACGTTCCTCGTCCGACTCGGTAGACAGTTACCACGACATCTCCTTTAAGCGGTCTCTCCTCATTAATGAGGCTGATAGGCTTCCGGGTGTTCTAACAGACAGTGATGTTACAAATGACACGACAGCTGAATTTACGACTAATATCGCGGTCCCCATCGACGCCACAAAGTTCAGAACTCCAAAACGACCTATGGTTCGTTTTCGTCTTTTACACTCTCAAGTATGAGGCTGAATTGCAGACGTTTATTCATTCGTTTTTGCCAACAGGTTACAGGAAATCGGCTTACTCGTCTCCATCAGTTCTCATCGATTTCATCTCTCCGTCTTCAAATGTGCAGTTGCTGTGGCAGGCGTTTTGCTTTTGGGAAACCGGCCCTTCGTTGCAAAATCTGTCGACTTGTGGTTCATCAGAATTGTCAGGGCCAGGTAAATGTTTGCTTCCGCATCCTCAACTTTCCCATTTATGTTTTCAAGCTAGCTTATTCGAACTGCTTCTTTTTTTAGCTTAAACAGCGTTGTGTGCCACCAACAGACATGCCACTATCACCTTGTGGGGCTCCCGAGACCCCTCGCACACCGCTGTCCGCGACTCTTTCGAGGCGTCATCTGGGTGGACCTTCCAACGCATCACCCACGGTCTTCGGAACGCCCTCGTCCACGCTCAAGCGCCGCGCGTTCGTCTGGCACTCCGTCTCTATCGCTTCGTTGTGCCCACCTAACGAGTTCCCTCAAATTCCAGCCCCCGTGATTCACTGTGTCAACGAAGTTGCTGCTCGTGGCCTGCTTCAAGTCGGAATTTATCGGGTGCCCGGTGCTGAAAAGCGAGTCTTCGGTAAGCTCTTATCTGATACGGCTACCGTATGGTGCCTCCCATCTTCACGATTGACCCTTCAATCCGACGCTAAATTTCTAATGACGTGAGTGTTCCCATGTGACCCATGTATTTTGCTTTCCAGAATCTAAGCGGTTATCCGATTACCGTGTGCAGTTTCGCTCTTCTCAAACAGTTATTTTGCATTTGCCCTCTTATAGATATCACATTAATGGAACCACAGTCGTTAGGTAATTTTCAATTTTAGTTTGGTGTAAACTAGGCAACTTGCTTTAAATTTTTTTATTTACCGAATGCGCAAATGCTGCCGAAATTCACAGAGGTGTGAAGCTGATGGTAGTGATTGTTACAGAACGCATGCGTTGTCATTGGTTTGATATTGAGGTGACCGACGTTCCGGTTGATTCTTTGAAGTTAATTATTGACCCAGGATGTATCTCAATCGCGTAATTGTAAAGTAAAACAGAGTGGTAGCTACTGAAGACTCCAAAATTCCTCAAACGCGATATTTAGGTCACACGTGATCTTAAAAAGACGTCCAAACACACCGTACCAGCATTCGTAACATGCGTTGGAAGTTATGCAAAACCTTGAATAGCAACGCATTCGCAAATGTTTATGGCTTGGAATCGCACATAGTTTGATTTTTGCCGATGTTATTGGAGGAGAGTTTGAAGGTTAGTGCCCATTTTCTGTATCTTCACTCACATTACGAGACTATAGTTGCGTCCATATCGAACCTCTTTGTTAATGTATGTGGCTTGACGCCACTGTTCTTTCGCTAAATGCTCCTCTTCCTGCCTTAGAACTTCTTGAAAAGTTCATGTACGGCCGAACTACGCCGAGTTTGGCGTTGGTCGAAGACATCAACGTAGTTTGCTCCTGTCTGAAGGCCTTTCTGCGTCTGTTGGATGAGCCCCTAGTCACCTACGCCCTGCGACCAGAGTTCGTCGCGGCGTCAGAATCAGCGCTGCGGAACCCTGAGGGTGCCAAGTACGAAGTCGCCACTCTGTTCGACAAACTGCCCATCGCGAACCGCGACACCCTTGCCTTTCTCCTTCTCCACCTGAAAGTACGTCCCCCCCCGCATTTCTCCTGCAGTCCGCTTTTTCTGCCACCATAATGACTGCATCGTCGCATAACTTTGTCTTTGCCTCCCCTAGGCCGTATCGAGGTCTTCAGCGTGTCGCATGGGCGAAGCCAACTTGGCCAAGGTGTTCGGATTCACCATCATCGGACACTCGTGTCCGGAGCCGCCACTCACGCAGGCTGCCAACGAGGTGACCGGTCAGCAGGCAGTGAGTTCCGTTTTTACATTTTATCGTTACGAACGCGATTCGCCCACCTGCGCGTTTGTAAGAAGGCCGGCGGCGACCTTGTGCGTCTGTTTAGTGACCGTATTCTTCATTCAACTCTCCTCTTTTTAGGCTGTGCGTCTACTCCTGTCTGTGCCGGACGTCGTGTATTCTACAATTCTTGCCTAGTTATTGGCAGCTGCGGACTTTTACCAAGCCTACTGTTATGGATTTGACCATGGCGACCTCATTTAATCCCCTTCCAATACATTAGCCATTGTATTTTAAAATTACCAGTAATCTTTTCATGTAAGCTATATGTATGAAGCTTTTCACCTCTCTCTCGCCTGCTCTGCTTGTGGCCAATGTGGGGTTTTAGTTGAAACAGTTCCGATAACTTGGTTCTTGTTCGAGTTGACATAGGAATGGGATCGTAGAGGAAGAAGGTGGTGATGTGGGGTGTTGCCTCCTTACGCGTATTCGATACGTTGTCTTAGGGAGCGGCCACATTAACCCCCTTGGGTTTAGGGAAGAGGAATCGGCTTTGTGCACTGTTGGATGCCATTCGCCTTGTCCTCACACGAGTCGCTGTTGCCGCTTATCAACCAACCACTGTCCATGGTGGATCCAAACCGCCGACACGTGTTCGGAATACTGCATTTACCGCCTGACCCCGCGCTTCACGTGTAACCGGGGGCGAGCACCAAATTTAGGGTTTCCGGTCTGTTTCGGCACTTTCTGGGCGTTGCTGAAGTCAAACTACGTGGACCATCCACTGCAGACGGTGATTTTCGCAGTAATGGCTGGCTAGTCGAATTGCCTCCAAATGTAACAAATTCGAAGGTCGGTGTTCTACGGTTTCCGCAGGTAACACAAGTTAAATAAACTGCATCTTGGTGTACACGATTTATGGCTGCAGTTAAGGCATTCTCAAAGGTAAATTTCCAAATACTACTAAATTCTTTGGTCGCGGTATTAGTAGAGTAGCATATTTTTCTGTGTGGTGGTGGTACCTTGGCTCTCAGCAGCAATCGGTTGCACCCGCTTGAATGACTAATCATCGAAGTTGTTGCAGATGAGTGTATGACTCCAAAGTGACTGTAGCTAAGAAAGTATGTCAAGTAGAGATGTCCTTTGGCCTACCCTCTGGCACCATTCGTGGCAGGCCGTTCGTTGAATTCCACTGGTTACAAAAAAAATGTCAAAAAATTCGTTTACGTATCAGCAAAGAAAAACTAGAATTCTTTTCCAAAGCTCAAGAATTCGCATTATGAAATCCTACCTTGCATAGCTCAAAACTTGTTTGGTTTTGTGAGCAGGAAGGTTACATCGAAACCCATTTTGGTTTCGCCGTTTCACACGAGTTACGCGAAACGGCCTCAGTTCTTCCGCGTGCACTTGATTCATGTAATGATTTTCGCAATGAGATCTTACGTGCAAAAAATAAAAAAACGCATTTTCATGGTGTTCTAACGGCCGTTTTTGCGGTTTCCTCATTTATAGATTGTTTTTTTCATTCGTTCTTATTCGCCTCGCTTCCAAAATCTCTTCATTTGTGCGTTGTTAGGACAGGTTGTCTTTTAACAAAATTGCATTTGTGATCATTAGTTTTCGAAATTTAGGGAAATAACTGAGGGAAGTTTATTTTTATCCACTTCAATAGTCACATCTTTAACCCCGACCTATTCTTCCCAATACGAAACCGTAGCAACACCGAGGCGGAAGTCCAAAATGTTTCGAAATTGCTGTTTATCCTCAGCAACCCAGAGGCCAAAGCCTAACAAAACAGACCTGACGTTGTACTGGCGCTTGACAATTCTAGTTTACTCTTATTGCAACAAGCAAACAAAGGCTGTACAAATCTCTGTCTCCAACAATATAAGCAATTATTTCATGTGCGTTCGCAACTCTATCACTGATATCTTGCCTCACTCCTAGCAATAGACGTCCTTCATAATTCAGCGAATAGAAAGACATTTTATGGATCTAACTGTGCATAGAGAGGATAATTAAGTCAACCAGTGTGGTACGTCTGCGCAAATTCAATTTCGGGATTAGACACAATGGGTTTAAATAATTCGACTGCTGGGTCCGTAATCCGTCCACATTCTAACCTCATGAAAGTAGTTAACCCTACAGCTATTTTTACACAGATTTGAGTAAAATTCACTCCAACCAGTACAAAAGAAATCCACTGACTCATCTAAGCGCTTTTACAACCTGTTGAGAGGCCGCTTTATTTGTCCAATGAATGGTGCAGGTGTTTCGTGTCTCGTATTAACGAATTTAATAACCTACGATTCTCTGTAACTATTTCTCGTGGCATATCCATGCCTCTCGTTCGTACTGACGATCTATCACCACGCCGATCATCTAAGATCATCTGCTCATGCGGTTGGTAAACGATAATCTATCGTCTGTCGAACGCTGGAATCGTTTGTAGCGGGGTATAAAGGGCGCAAATTTGTTGGACCACATCGGGCTCAGCCAATCCTACGTCTTTGTGCGTTAGAATGGCCTGGGAGGAAGACCTGCAGCCAACCACAGATAGACACGTGCGAAAGGTAGTAAAATGTGAGCGGCGCAGTCAGCGCGTTGGACTCGGACGAACTGTGCCTGAAGTAATGTTCTGGCTTCCGATAGGTCACTAAAGCCTTGTCTGTTGTGCAAGTCGTCTCCATATTAGGCCTCGGGTATTTTACGCGTTGGCTAAGTTCTAATTAGTCAAAGGAGTCAAGTATTGACGCCCGTAATTTGAATTCGACCCACTATCTGAAAGACATATGTGATTTGCGATTTGGCCCCATGGGTCTCATCAAACAAAAAAATTGCGAAATATCTTGAATTTTAAATCGCATTTGGTTGTAAAGAACCTCGTTGTGTGAAGCTTTACACGTACTTTCAGAAATCGTAGCCTGCAAAGAGTCTAAAGAATTATCAAAATTGGTTTAAACTATGTCAAAACGTTCAGAAGCAAAATGTGCTATGTATTAAGAGGACAGTGATTGCAAATTTATTGTAGAAATAAGATACAAAGAGTTGCCTTTTCTTAAGTAATGACTAGTAAACAGCCAAGGTAAATGACGAAAAGCAGGCAATAATTGAACGTAATGGGTGTTGTGAAAAACAAAGTTGTAAGAATGGGTCCTAAGATTCGAGTTTGCACCAATGTCGAATGTATATATTACTGTTAATGGAAATCAGGAAAAGAGAATTGGCAAATGAAGTAACATAATAGGTTTCGTATCACGTTGTATTGGAGTCAGAAAATAAACGCTTCGATGAGACGTTATGTTTCTTTACATTATTTGTTTAAGATCAAGTGATTTATATGCATTTACTTCTGTAATTTAAATCATAGAATATTTTGTAAACAACGTTGACCTTTCAACGATTTTCTTGCTAACTTTCTGTTAAATTTCCAGCCAGTAGTTTTTATTCAAGTACCCTTGTTCGTCGTACAAATATTCACATTTTAAAATGCTGACATTGAGTTCATGATTTTCATTTAGTTAATTTGCGATAGAACACTTTGCAGGTCTTATAGCAAAATGAACTGGTGGTGCTAACATTAGCATTGCATTTGTACGGGTTTAGGTAGATTTGATATCTGGATTTAGAGTCATAAAAATAAAAAAAACTAAATTGTTTGCTCCTTTGTTAAGTCAAATGTGCACTTGATTCATATATTAATATTAAGGTGCACTCTCTAAACTTGTTGGAGTTAGAATTATTTATGCCACTAAATCTATCAAAATGTATATCCTAAAATTCAATAAAACCTTTTTTTAAGGGGCAATTTGGCTGATTTAGAAACCTGCAAAAATTTCGTAGTAGTCTTAAATAAAGATGCAAATGAAATTTCATAAATTTTGAAACCAACTATCATGAGAGCAAAATAAGTGCCACACTTTTCACTTATTCACTACATTGGTTTATGAGGTTGGCGGCTCATTAGATAATTTTGGTTAAGGAGCCGACTTTAGTACTTGTCTAATGAAATTCTTTATTCCTCCGGAATGAGCTTTTAGGTTTGTGTTGTCTTACTTTTAGGAATGAATACAATTTGAAATTACAAAAACTGAATATTAAAGTTGCATAAATGGCTTTTGACGTTTCACTTACTCGCTAATTAGTAAGAATCTTTTAAGCATCCGAACTATTTTTGAAACTAGACAGTCGTCGTCCAAAAAACTCGCACAAAATCTTTTGAACTTCCAGAAGTGTTGTGTTGTTGTTTTTAGTTTTCTGTGTGAATCAGTCTTGTATAATGTGGCCTTTTTGGTCTTTTTTACCGACTTATTCGCACTCCAATTAATATTTTCGACCTCCTTCCTAGAATTTCTTTTAATACTTTCGTGGCTATGTAGCCTACTTCCTTATTATATTGATTGTGGTAAATTTTTAAACTTTCTCTGTGTTAGTTTTTTATGATAATTCCTTAACGCGTTGGTTTATCGCCGGTGTGTCGCAGGTATCCGCGACCATCCACCTACCCTAAAACCATATTTGGTTCCTTTAGTTGCGCTTTTTAGACATTAAACTTCACTTATACTGTTTTATATGTAAACTAAATGAGTTTGGTAATCACAGTGCTGACAATTTTATTTTTATTTACGTGCTGTTTGTTGTTTTCTTCTTTCATCTTGGTCTGAACGTTTTGTTGTCGTCATTTTTAGCTAAAGATGCTTGGGGATATAGGACGAATTCCAATTATATCTCTAAGCGGATGCATAAGCCTCTCGGATATTTTGTCAGAACTTCCGTTGCCACAACCGTTGCCTAAATCTGTTAGTGGCGTTGAACTTATCGACGATCTTCGATTGCAACACGAAGCGCAGATTCATTTGCGATCTCGTGACGATTGGTTGATTGAATCCATTTCAACAGCTCTATGCGCCACCTCCACAAGTGGAATGTAAGTCAAATTTTCTTGTTTCATTTCTGTTTTTCAGCATTCTGAAAAATGACCTGAAGACTACCCCCGTTGACTTTCATACTCTTCCTCCCTTGCTGAAGGAATCTATTTCTCGAAAACCCAACATTTTGGAGGAAAATCTTAGTTTCCAATGTATATACTCAAGCAAGGAGGTGCTACAAATCCTTTCCGGTGAAGGTAACCAATTTTCACAGCCACTTTCAACACTTGTAGCTGGAAAGTGCCCTTCCAAAATCGCCTCTCCACCAAAGACCCATCTTGCGACAGCCAGCCATCAAAACGCTGTTCCACTTAATGCCGCTCCCCCAAAGGTTATTTCGAAACCGCCGCAACCAACCTCGCCCAGCAACGGTGGGGTGTATAGCGTAACTTCTGTGGAGCCGCTCAAACTGTCCATCAAGCGAGCTCCGCCTACACCTGCGGCGCCCCTTTCAACCCCAAGTCATGATGGAGGGAAGAAGACACGTTGCAAACGCCGTTCCAAGGGTTCAACGCCTTCCTCGTCTATCAATCAAAGCTGGGTATGACTGTTTAAAACAAGGTCTTTCTTTTTCCTAATTGAGCGTAACCTAAATTTTAAAAACAGCCGTTTTAATTCTGGCCGTGCATGTGCAAACATGTATGAAATTTTATTTATGTTAATGTTGCCGTTGGATTATGCGCGAATGGCGTACGTGATGCTGAAACATTAGCGTCAGGGCCATCAGCCAGTATGAAACAAAAACGCGGCGTTATTTAATTGAACTTAGGATTTTGTTATAACATTCCCGGACAGTTCTTATAATGGATTCATGATTGTCGGATAAGTAATCCATGTGGATTGTCAAAATTTAAAGCATTTTCTGGGCACTTTTACTACCGGCAAGTCGAAAACGAGTTTCCCATTTTGTCTTACCAATGTCCCTGGCTTCCAAATTTCTTAAATCCGTTTTAAAAAGGTGAATTGTTATCACCACCAAATCAATCATTTCTATTGTTTTGAGCACATTACCAATCCGGGAGGCTATTCTCGCAAACCTAGTAGCTTAGTAATCAGATTATAGCGATTATGCATGACTATTTCGTTTATTTTTGGCAAAATCTTATTACTGTCAGACTGGCACAATCCATTTGGTCTGTGGGCCATTAGGACCTCAACCTGATCTATTTTTAGGCTGTCGAACGTGGCAAGATGGCAGAAGCAGCTGTGCCATCGGTGTCATCTCAAACTCAACCCGTCCGATCTCCATGTGTACATCAACCCGTTGTCCCAGCCCCGCGTCTTCCTCCGTTAACAACCTCTCCGCGATTACAACCAATTCTGCACCCCCCACCACCCCTTCCTCCTCCCGCACCCAAAGACCCCCTCTGTCGAAGCACCAATCAAATGCTGAACACGATGCTCACCCAACTGCTTCAATCCGACCACGAAAGCACAATCGCCTCTCTCCTAAGCAGCAGTGATGGCCAGTCCTTGGGAACTCCGGCCTCTGTCGAACCACACCATCCCCGTTCCCCTCCGCTATCCGTACCGTCCAACTGCTCCTATCCGGCCACCCCTTGCGTGAACACCAACGCCTCAGTACACAACGGCAACGGCAACAATAATAACCTCACAACCACTGACCCCTCCCCGATAAACGCCATTTTCGACGCGGCCGATGTCGGCGATGTCAGGGAGGCAATCTCCGCCCCGGTGCCTCCACCGCCCAGGGGTCTGGCTGCCTACCTTCAAAAAACCCACAATCCCGAAGTTGTCGCCTCGCCGTCAGAGGAAAGTGTGGATGCCTATGCTAGGCAACATGGCTCCGTGCCTCCAATGTCTACTTCGCCGTGGGCAGAGCGTCGCAGCGGCCAACAGGTGGCACCTTCGACAGTCACTGCAGGAAACGGTGGTGGCGCCGCGTATCCAACCTCGTCTTCACTCACCAACACGCCTAACGGACTGGAGAGGGGCGGAGGGAAGGAAAAACGAGGTGAGCTTTGCTCGTGGAACGTGATCGATTCACATTTCTGCTTGGTATTATAGCCCTCTATAATACCAGTGTCCTAGACTCAATGCTAGATAAGTCTGATGGAAGAAGTCCGACTAAGTGCCACAAGAATCCATCTTTAATCTTCCCAACCTGTTTTCAAGTTTCCCCGTCTAGCAGAATAATTCGTTCAGATGATTCGCGGTCTGTTGTTGAAACTGGGATAGGCAGATGTGTGCGGAGTGCATGCGTATTTGATAGGGATACATTCTGTTTTTAACATTCTTTATTCATCTGTGATTTGCCCTACTGTTAGTGTAAACTATAAATCGGTAGGCGGTAGGTCTGCATCACAATGCGATCGTTTTTATTTGTCTAGGACGACGTCGCCGAAGTGAGTTGGAAGAGTTGATCAACTGGCGGGTTCGTGATCAACCAGCGTCCTCTTCGGGGTTATTCAAGAAACACCAACCGCCAGCTCAGCAGGCCCTGCCCATCCTCGAGAATAGCCCTCTTGTCAGCGACAACGAGGGTGCTGCCTTCTTCACTGAGCCCCTCGGTGAACGCGTGAAACGTCGGCGACAACAGCACAAGACAACGCCGTCTTTCTCCAACGGCGGCGAGGTGGCTCGAACCGGAGGTCGTGGAGGCGGCAAAAGCGGTGGGAAAAAGCGCCACCGTGACGACACGTCCAGCGAGATCTCGGCATCACCTAAACGGAACTCTGCTTCGGGGCGACACCAACACCACGGCCTGACCTCCTCCGAGTCCGACCTTCCGGAGGACGACGACGAGGAGGAGGAGGAGGAAGAAGAGCAAAAGGGCAAAGACGACGCTGGCGGCGCGAGTAGCAGCAGTTGTCTTACTGACTCCCCTGTCCCACGCAAGCAGTCCTTGCAGCGACTTGTTGAGGAGGTCAAGGGGCGCCCTCCTTCCCTCTCAAAGCTCGAGAAACTGCGTGTATGTTTAAACTTCATTGGCTAATTTCAACATGGTGCATTTGTGGGGACCGTTAGCAAACTAGAAGCCTTCTACCGACTCGAAGTGCGTGTTAGTCTTCGCACCGAAAAGCTTACTCGATCAGAAATCGTGAATTCTGATCGGAAACTAAATCCGTGCTAGCAGATTGTCACTCAATGCAACAGCGCAGTTGCGGTGAAATTGCTTAAATTTCACTTTCTTAGTGTGAAATTTTATCGGCTAGTAACCATGTTCGATGAGACCTGGTGCATCGTGTGAATTCTGACAATACGCACCGAAATTTCTTATTTGTTCACATTATAGAAAGAAGGTCAATTCTTTGCCGCGGTTTAAACAATTTCGTACAGTCCCCTTGTTTACTCTGTTCTAAGCATTCGGAGGACACCACTTCAGCAACGTCGATGCCGGTTTCCACTGAGGAAGTGTCTCCACTTTTGTCAGCTGTGACATCAAATAGCCGACCTCTGTCGTCCACAGAACGTCCGAGACGAGAGGCGTCGACTCGTTCCTCAACCAGCCCGCCGCCGCTTCTCGCTCTTCAGGCATGCGCGCCTGATCCTCTTAGCCACGCGGGGCGGCGTCAGGTGAAAAAGCACCGACAACCAACTCAATCTCTTTCGCCTCTCTCCTCGAACGAGGAAGAAGACGGTCCTGTGAAGAAACTCCGTGAGTTTAAGGCTGAAAGTTACGCGAGTGGGGCGAAAGATTTGCCACCGCCACCAACCTTTGTGTTAAAAATGTGCGAACAATAGCTGTCAGCGCTTAGGTTGCCATGTTACTTCTGGATGCTTTCGAGGTGGTAGATGGGCCCCTGTCGAACTCCCAGGAGGCTGTCGTTAGGACAGTATGAAACACCGAATAAGTGTTATCGTCCAAGAGTACGCTTGTGTGTTGGTGTTTGAACACCCGTGTCATTCCTCCTGTCCGCTACGTACGTGTCCATTCCCCTCCTCGTTTATTCACTTTTCTCGCTCGATTCTCCCATTAGTTCATCCTGGGTTGTTTCTTTGGCATGCGATACTCTCGACATTCTGAACAGGCCCTTCTAAAAGGTCATGCGGTGTGTTTGGCGGGTGGGAATTCCTGCCCACCCGGCAAATTACAGTCGCCTTTGATAAGCGGTTTTTTTGCTCCCCGGCGTCCTCGTCCTTTCCCCATTCCCATCCGCTTCACAAGGTGGTTCGTCGGCTTTTAGGTGGTAATCGAAATTTAGAGGCTTTATTGCAGGCCGCGCCAATCACCCATCCCTTGCAAATTCCCATTGTCGCCCCGGTTGGTCTCACCCCTGCAATTTGCACGTTTTAGGCCTAAAACGACCCAATTGTCGCCCCGGTTCGTCGTCCCACTTCAATAAATGCCTTTTTGTGTGCAAACGGGATACGCGTCTTCTCCTACATGTTCTTATTTGCGCTGCTAGTTAGTTGGTTGCTTTTTGTGTGAATGGACTTTACTTTCTGTTCATTCTTCCATGGTGTTGCGGTTCTTGTGGGCAGAATGAAAGGCCCTTCTGTGCAGTTGATGACTTCCGTGTTGCATTGCATTCGAGGTTCACGAGGCTGGAGCGTTTTGCGGCATTCGTTGGTTCCATTTTGATGGCTACCGCAAGGCATTGTAAAAAAAACCACCTCTTTGCCTCCAGTTTCAGTCCCTTGCGTCGTTTAGGTACCGAAAATTCTTCAAAGGTTCCTTTTTTTGCCTGTCGCGCAAACTCGAGTTGGTAAATATTGCTTTGAGGAAGAAGGAAAGGAGGAATAAGAGGCGGTTTATATCGATTTTGAACGAATACTTGTCTCCTGCTCCTCCCCAGGCCTTGAGTTACCTCTGTGGCAAACTGCGCAACCTCGAGGTAGGTTTGAACGATGCTCCTTGGGAACGCCATCGTGGATAGTTTCCCGTGTGTGTCCTCTATCCAATTCTGAGGCATCCACGTTCTAATGACTGCTCGGCTTCGTTTCACAACGTGCCTAATCGTATCAGCCTGTAAGGGTTAGGTAGAACTGCCAGAACCGCTGGTTGGTGATTCTCCTGCTACCAACTTGAACTAAGTGCCACTTCGAGCATGTCGTGTTGCCGTTTTACTCATTCCACATTGCCCTTACTGTCATCTAGCCATCGGTTTCGGTGCTGGTGTGAATTTGGTGTCAGAGCCGCCACCACCCCTCACCCACCCTATTGTAAACCACACTAATCTCACCAGCGTTACCTGAAGCGATGTCATGGCAACGTAAAGCGCTAGCTAATTTACTTACCTGTAGTAATTAGCTTGTCGTGCATCCGCGAGTTACCATAATGTCAATCGGTTTTAAACCTAACCTCTTTACTGTGCTTCCGCCTTCAATCGCCGCACTGTCATTATATAATGCACCTGATGGCAATGGTGCACTACCACATTTTGTGCAATACTGATGCGCTAGCGGTAGGCAGGTTCGTTTTTTTGCATGTGAAGAGCGCTTAAACGTGACTTGGTGTTAATTTCGTAAGCTGTTTCAAACTCGCGCAAACCGATGGGCTTATTTAGTGCCCTCGAGGTCCTTGCCGACGTTGTGACTTGACTTCTTTTTTGTAGCTTTATCGCCAGTATCTACCATTCCCGATCGGCATTCCACGAAGATGAAGTCAGACCCTCATCGTAGAGGCGACACGTCTGGTACTTCGGCCCGGGCCCCTGTCAAAAAGTCCCGTTCGATGGTCGATAAGACCCACAGGGTTCGTGCGTACCTCTCGTCCTCCTCCGACAGCGATAAAGGCAGCAGTGTTTCGTTTGTCAAACGCCGTCACAACAAGCCCAAACCCCCGCCCTCGGAGGCTAACCTCGACAGCTCTCCAGATTCTTCTGCGTCGTCAAATGTTGGACGCGTCCGCACCACGCGGAAAAACACACCTAGCACTCAGCCGTGCACATCCAGCTCTGCGATGGACGACGACGACGAGAACGACGAACTGTCCGCGCTGAAAGCTGCCACACGGCTGCCCTCTCCGCCACCCTCCGTTGCCACCACTGACCTGTCCGATTTCGATCGCACCGAGGAGGTCCTGGAAGCGGAGAAGCGGAAGGCCGAGGAGGTCACCAAGTTCGCTGCCGCCTTCACTCACTTCACTGCCCACATCACCGACCTCCTACGAAGGGTCGGAGGCCTGGATCTACTCAAAATCGCAGGCGAAATGAGTTCGGTTCCAGTCGATCCGGGGGAGGATGGCGAGGAGTTCCCTGACCAGACGCCAGTTGAGGCTCGGCTTTCGCGACGGGAGTTAAACACCCTGTATCAAGAAGCGGATGACGTTCGGGTGGCTGGGTCGATGTCGAATGAACCCAACGGTCGTCTAGTTAGGCTGCTGAATCTCCTCCTCGTAAACATTCGAGATGCTGCCTGCCTCGCAGCTCCTAATCCCACAAACGTGAGTCTCTTTCTCTGCCGCAAATTTCATGGTGTGATAGTGCCATTTTTGCGACCTCTCTACGTCCGCGAAGCGCACCTAGATGTCGAATTTGCGGGCAGCCTCGTTTGTTTGTGCGCTTGATTTGTGGCGTCTAAACTTGTTTAATTTGCGGCCAAAGCCATCTGACCGACGAACTGTGTGCTTGCATTCGCATGTTTGTTGATGTTTTTTTCTGAGAAGATAGTTTATCTGTGAAAAAAAAATGCAAAATTTACCACCATCATCGTCGTCATGATTGACTTAATTTTATAAGTGCACCCTAAAGACCCGGCAGTGTTGATTTAAGCCACTAGATTTCCTTGTACAATCTCGTCTCCTAAGTGTGTCTTTATCTTAGTCCATGATTTATCGAGGCAACAACGACTTCCTCTTTTTTGAAAGGCTATATTGTTTATGGTTGGTTCGTTGTGTAGGAAATTGTTGACTGTTGAAACGTCTTCGACGAACCTGGACATCGTTGGTAGGTAAGATTCGCATCGCTGTTCCGATTCACGACCAATCCTGCAATCGATTCCTTCTCCAACCCCCAATCCAAATATCTTCCAGTGAATGCCTCCTTCTTTAGCATAAGGAGTGGAATCGTTGTAAATTAGTGGCATTTTGAAACTGACTGCAGACTTCTTCGTGCTTCAGTCCCTATTTCGTCACTCACAACGGTCTCGTGGAGTCGCAACCATGGGGCTTTGGGATCGCTGGGCTATTGTAGATTATTTGTGGGGACATTCTACCATTGGTGTCGGTACTCATCCCTTCGCGCTGTTTTCCCATCAATAAAGCACGCGCCCGAGATTATTTTAGACACTTCGCACGCTGTGTAGGTGTAGTTAAAGCGAGTTGGACGCATTACACCAACTTGACTGAAGGTCGTACCAACAGAACATAACTTCCCGTCCTTCCTCGTTATAGTCCAACTTCAAGGAGCTCATTCAGCGACGAAAAGCGCGCATACAGCGTCGTCACGGGGGTGTTGAATCCGCCAGTGCCGGGGGAAGCAGCGAGTGTCTCTCGGAGTCGCTGCTCTGGTCACACCCCGCCTGGCTTCGAGTCCTGCGCGGCCTCGACGCCGCCCTCATCGCCCTCCACATCGTCGCTGGTCCTGACGTGCCGCGCGCTCGTCTCCTCGCCATGGAGGACCTCGTGGAGGCCATCACCGCCATCACTCACTTCCACTTCAACCGACTTGTCACCGCGATTCACGCGCCTGCTGGTACGTTGTGCAGGCGGTTTCTTGGTCCTAGTGGCCATAATTGGCCGGTTTACGCAAGTGTCAAGCTTGTTTAATCGCCTTCCCCCGCCAGTGTTTGTCTCAGCCAGTCTAATTTTAATTGGCTAAATCTCTTCGCCTGGCCTAAAAACACGCGAATACTTGTGGATTTTTGTTAAAAAATCCGTTCTATCCAACTCCTCTCTTACCGCTGCCGTTTCTGCGCTCAATACCATCACTTAGTGATATTCAACCATCTCACCCCCTTGGGCGATGGTCGACCTATCTTGCGCCAAGTAACGTTTGTCCAGAATGTGGGGCACACTTCAAGTCTTTCTAATGCTTCACTCTCAAGAGTCACCAACCTGTCAGTTTCGTTAATCCGTGATTGGTAGGAGGTGTGATGAATTCGGTTTTTTTTTCTCACTGACGAATGCCAATAATTAAGCTTGTTTTCGCCTTCAACTCTTTGTTTTCCAGATTCAAAGCGCTCAGGGTCAGATATATCTGCAGGTCTTACCAACCTCGTCCGCGACTCTGTTGGAAGTCGACTGAGCGAGGCACTGTGTGGACTGGTTAGCCTTGTGCGCCTCCATCCGGGTCGTTTCACCGATTCCCTCATCATGCGTCTGGTCGATCTAGCCCTCCTTGTTCTCTCCTCGGCCCTAACTTTTACCGGAACTCGGAAATCTCCCACCTCCTCATCGTCATCCTCCACCACCACCCCCACCACCGCTGCCATTGTCCTCTTCCCCGATCCTGCACCACCCTTCATCGCGGGAGAGGGCCTGGAAGAGAGGCAGCGACGTCAGACCGACTACTACACTCGCAACACCTGGCGTCTGCAGATGCAAAGAGCTGCGCTCTCACTCACCGCGACAATCTTCTCGCAATACGACAAACACCGCCAATTAATCGCCGCGGAAGTCTTCTCTACCATGGTACCAACGCCCAGTAAGGCCTATCGTCCGGGTCAGTCAACGCCAACTGGTGCGGCCAAGAGTCTTGCGACTGTCAGAAACTTTTGGTGCGTTTCTCCATCGGTCGTATATCGCTTAGCACAGAGCTTCTGTAGCGGTTTCTCGAAGCTCGACATAAGTAAATTGCATTCCCCTCTGCGTCTAAAAGCACTTAGCATCTGTCAAAGATAGATCAAATCCATCTTGTAGCGTAGATTGTTTACACCAAGTCGCTAAAGGTAGTGTTTTTTTTCTTGTTACTAACTCTTGCTGCCATTAGCGCTGCGAATAGCACATTTTCTGAGTCTGATTGCTGCATTTAACGCTTCAACCAAGTTCTTTTCTGCTTGCAGGATTTTGGCTTCGGGGAGTTTCACCAAGGGCTGGAAGCCTTTTCAAATACCCACTCGAAACGTCACCCCCGCGGTGCCGTTATCGACACCTACCTCAGCATTTCCCCTCGTCGCCAATGCGTGCTTTCTTTTGGTGCACCCCTTCACCGCATTACTATTGGCTCTAATCCAAAGCTTGATTCCCGCGCCCTCTCACCTGATTGGCGGACGGAGAAGTTCAAGCGCTGGAGCACCCGCGACCCCATCGAGTGGTGTGAGTCAACAATCGACGACTACAGGTACTGGTTTGAGTGATCAGCATGGAGTTAACGACTCCATTCAGTTGGCCAAAGAAGAGAAAGCCACTACCAGCGCGTACTTCAACGCTACCCGCACCTCTATGTACCTGATTTCGGAACTTGTCAAAAAGTTAGACTTTTGTTGTCTTTTATCCCTCAACGGCATACGTTTGATGACTCTATTTTGAATTTGTGTCTTGCTTCAGGGCTGCCACGAAAGGCGAAGATGACTTGCGTCCCTTGGTTGACACCGTTCTCGTTGATCTACTCCGAGTTGCCGCGGACTCACCAATTGAATGGCCTGTTGCCAACTTCCTGCTAAACGCTTTCGGAAAGGTGTTGACGCAAATCCTAAACGGATCCACTGCCTCCGTCTCGTCCTCCTCCTCCACTTCCCGCAGCCGATCCCCCACCCAGACCTCCGGTTCCAACGCCTCCGTCAGGAATCCCGACGTGGCCATGCGTTTGGTTGCAGCCGATAACCTCATCACTCTGGCAGGCGGGCTTCGGCTGATGGGAAAGTTGCGTGGCTCGGTGGAGGAATCGTCCGCTCCGACTGATTTTGACCTCGCTGAAGCCGAAAGCGCCTTGTCCGCCTTCCTGGCCACCCCGGTTCTGGGGTTGTGCCATCTGACCCTCGGTTACGACTGCGAATCGGAGGCTGGTGAGAGGGCTGTCGCCGAGAGATTGGCCAGTTACACAGAGCAGCGAGATTTCGCTTACCAACTTATCTCGCGCCTTCGCTATCAGCACTTTGATGGGCTTACTTTGGTGCGTGCTCGCGTCGATGCACTCTAACCTTTCTGAGATGAATGATGAGGCGCATGGTTGGATTTTCTCCCCTTGTAGACATCACGACGGTTCCACGTGATCGGGTGTTTGTACGAAGTCGCCCAGGAATTGGCCGGTGACACCAGCTCGGACCGACGAAAACACCTTGAGGAGGCTCGTCGAAGTCTCCTGACGGAGTTTGCAGCCACCCACCACAGCCTCTCGGGAATGGCACCTTGGCTGCCACCGAGGCGTGGAACCACGACCGCAGGTTTCGGGGGCGGTGGCAGCGGTGGCGGCAGAGCCGGTCTCATCAGCCCCACCTCCTCCGAACCCGGTTTCGGCGAGGGCCCGGGTGGCGACGTCGTGCTGGCCCTCTACACGGGCCACGGACTCGGTGCTGACGGCAGACGCCGGAAGATCGCGCACGCCCACCGACTCGCCACCAAACTTGCCGCGCACTTCACCAACTCGCCTGGTTTCGATTTCCTCTTTATGCACATCGTCAAGGTTTGTGATTGTTCTACTGCCCCTGTTTATGTCAATGGTTTGCGAGCCACCGCTGTCGAATCCTAGTAGTTCGACACGTGGAATACGTTGTTTTCAGCCGTGGCGACATGCGATCAGAGCGACACAGCCTACTTTATTAATACCTAGCTCCAATCTGTATAATAACTAAATCACAAGGCGAAGGAGAGGGTTTGGGAATACAAGTAGTGGCTGCTAACACGACCATTTAGTTGCGCCTACTTTGGATTCGGAAATTTCTCAGTTAGTTAAGGGGTATGTGCTTCTAGAAGGCACGCATATGGTTTTTAGCCTAACCGCCCGAAATAAGATACAAATTCTGGAAGTGATTTTGCTGCAATTCAAAGCTATTTTCAGGACAGATTGCATTCTTAGTGGTGAAACATTGAATGTTCGGTGCATTATCTGCCGCCTTCTCTCTCAGCTTTTTTACGATCCCTCGATTCCCCTGCGGGCTCGGGCCTTAAAGTGCCTGTCTTCGCTGCTTGACATCGCTCCAGGCTGCATTCCACCTCCACCACTGCCATCGCCGTTGTCAACAAGCGTCGCTGTTGCCAAATACGGTGGACCATCGGACATCCTCTCCATCATTCCCGTGCGTCTCATGGACAGTTCACCGGCAGTCCGCGAAGCAGCTGTCGAACTTGTGGGTCGCCTCGTCACCACTCCCAACTCTTCTTCCTTCCTCGGGCCGCTCTACAACCCCCTCGTGGATCGAGTGCTCGATTTGTGCGTCAGTGTGCGCAAGCGTGCCGTTAAGAGCCTGCAAACTTTGTTGCTGTGCGATTCTGACGGGGCTAAGCGAGCCTCAGGGCTTTCAACTAAGCAACGTTCCGACTCGTGCATCATTTTGCTGAGACGATTGAATGACGAGGAGTCTGTCAAGGTGAGACGCTTAGTTTCCAGACCTTCAAAGATCCCATAAGCTTCTTATGGTGGCGTCAGACGAAATCTAGACTAGCCCATTTCGGTCAATCAAGTTGTCCTCTTGGAACAGTGTGTTGTGGGCCCCAGCATGTGGTCTTGAACTACGCCGGGGCCACGGATTTAACCCTGGCCCAATTAGCTTTCCTTGATAACCGCAATGAAGGAAAAGACCGGAGAGGACGGTCACAACCGCTTGCTTCAGAGCTCAACCTGGTTTGCGTCGTTGTTTCGTGTGTGGGTTTGCGCGTGTGTATACATACCTCGGATGTGTGAGTCCTACATGCGCTAACATCGAGACCTAGGTGTGGGGATGCTCCAAGGTAAATATTCTTGCTAATAAGGGAGGAGTTAAGGATCCGCTCGGTTGGCGACATGCTGCGAATTGGGGAACCCTGTGTAGGAGGTGGAGCGACCGGATTAAGGGGTTGAGTAAACACGATTCACAAGTATGATCTTGTTAGCATCCGTGGTGACACTTGCCTTTCTTCCCTCCTCCCTACAGAAACTCGTTATGGAGACATTCCTTGCCCTCTGGTTCACCCCCCTGCTGTCAAGCGGGGACGATGCATCCAAGGCCGACGCGCGTCTGCGAGAGCGCGTCGCGTGTGTCTGTGAGGTTGTTGCAAGTTTTCGAAACCGTGGCCTCCAAACTGTGGAGGAATTCATGACTGCGGTAAGTGCCACCTACAATGCCAACCACACACACACACATCTTCCCCTTCAAGTTGCCTGTTTTACCAACGTTTTCACGAAACCCCACGCTTTCTGTCCGATTATCACTTTGGATCACCCGGTACTTTTCGCGATCGGATCAGGCCGGTCAGATCAACTTTATCTGGCCTTGGTTAGCGTTCCTGGAAAATATTGCAAGGTCATTTGTAGAAGAGGGTAGGCATCTCCCTCCCAATTCACTGATGCACCTGTTCCAAGGTCAGCCCTGTCATAAATTGGTATCTTGTGGTAATGGCATGGGGTTGGTTTGCCTACACGCCAAGTGCCGTGCTTGAAACGAGTTATTTGTGAATTTTGAAGTGGATTTGAGGGAGCCTTAAAGTGCCTTTTTTCCCGCCTACCCTCTCACGCACATCGGGTTATTTTGCGCTTTGGATGGTGATGGGTTGTCATAGCATGTGCTTCATAGTCAACGCGTTCCTTTGGGACCACTTTTTCATCATAAGGTAATCAGAATCACGTGGCTTCATGCGTGACATCTCTCAACCTGCAGCCGTGTTGAGTTTGCAGGTAGTGGTGGGGGTGGTGATGACTTCAATCAATCCAGATTCGCTTTTTTTGTTTTAAAACGAAAGTCGTCCTCAGGAGATTTCCCATGCGCCGTTCGCAACACACGTTTGCAAACGTCGATAATCACTTCGTTATTTGATTCCGACCCCATGTCCGGTTTCTCCGTGTCACGAACTTGCTGAATATGGGTCAAAATAGCAGATGCATCGAGGTGCTAGCGACGTGTGCCAGGCCCTGGTGACCTTTAATCTCAGCGTTTCATTCAACTTGGTTAGCTGAGCTTCCGGTTTGCAGCTAATTTGACGCTCTCATTGGTTAAACACCATTAAAACCGTAAGATATAGACGAGACGTAGATTGTGAGACTGTGAAGTTCGATGCACGATTTGCCCCTGCTAGTAATCCTGTAGTGTGGCACAAGTTGTGTACACAACTTAACCACCTGGATTGGATTTTTGGTGTCACACTCGAGGGGTGTGTGTGTGTGTTTACATTCATGTCTTGGAAACTTCTAAATCACATTCCGTGGCACGGTCATTTATGGCTTGTTTTTGTTGCCAATTACGCAGTGATTGATCCATCTAGTTTATCAAAAAACAGCCATGCAAGTGTGTTTTGATTATAATCCGGTATTAGCTTGAGGTGGCAACGACCTCGACTTTGTGTGCTTGTCAAATGTTGCGCCCCCGTTTCACTCATTGCTGTATTGACCCCTTCTGCCTCCCCCCGCCCTCACAGATCCTGAATCAGGAATCCTCGGAAAAATCCGCTCAGGTGGACACCGCGTGCTCCGAGATCGTGGATTTCCTAATCAAAATTGTCCACCAATGCCAAGGTGAGTTGTCTTTCAGAGCGAGTGATTTTAAATCCATCGATTTTCGCCCCGCTCGATGTCAACCCATCGGAAATCGATACTTAACGCACGTGCGCGTGTGCCAACAGCTTTAATAGCACCAAGGTGGGCCGCACTCGCTGTCTTTACAAGTAGCTGATTCAAATCTCATCGATTTCCGATTCCACTCATCGATATTCCATACTTAACGAGCGCGTGTGCGTGCGTGTGTGCCTCGATAGCTTCAATTTTGCCGAAATCGGCTTCATGGCTAACGCAGTGTCAATTTCACAATTTTGCGCAATTTACGTGCTATTTTTAGTCGCCCATGTCGCCACAATATGGAGGGTCTGCTTCAATCGTGGCTGCTATGGGAACGCGGTGGGTGTGTGTGTGTGTGTGTGTGTGCGGGCATTAAGTGGATTATGAAACGGGAAACACATTGTTCTCTTTAAAGTTTTGGGTTTTGTAGGGGTTAAGTTAAGTGTAATATGCAACTACCAACACCTACTAGCTCGCACACCAGCTGTCTACTTTGTGAAGTTGTCAGCAAACGCCAACGATTTTCTGCACGTTATTCTCAAAAATAGCTCGAGTTCATTCTAAGGAGATGTATGTATGCGTTAGTTGGATATGCGTGGGCCAAATCGATTTTAATTGTGACCCTGTGCGATTCCTCAACGCGCCAGTTGAAAATCCCGTGTTTCTTTCTCGTACACAGCCAACGACTGGCACGAGGATGCATTTAAACCAACACCCAACCCTCCTGGCGCCAGCCAACACGCCAAGACTTGCCCCCTCCACCCCAAACACAGTCGCGGTCGTTCTGATGCGCGCTGCACCTGCTCCAGCGACTCGATAACCACCACCGGTGCCCTCTCGGTGCTCCATCTTGTGGCCAAGTGTCGCCCCCAACTGCTCCTCCGTCATGTGCCACTCCTGACGCGGGTCATCGCCTTTGCCGCTGCCGTGCAGGACACAGGCAGCGGACCGGAGAGCAGTGCTCTTTACTTCACCACCGGCATCATCGAAGCCTGTTGCCTTCATTTGGCCTCTGCGGGGGAGTCTCAGCTGAGGTGAGTACCTGGTTCCTCCTTCCAGGACCTTTTTCGTGTGAGAGAGCGCTTCAACATCACTGCTACCCTCAGCACGCTCGTTGGCTGACGTTTTTCCGATCTGAGCGTCAGGCTGTGCTCAACAAGCCGCGTATTAGACTTAAGCCTATAGTGGTACGTGTGGATTAGAATGCACGTGAATCGCAGCTGCCGTCTCGTGCATCAGCCTCATGGCTAGAAGCGCAGTTCGTCTGACGCGACATATCTTCGCCTTCAACTTGTGGCGGCATCGAACTGCACTTCAAATCGATGTAGATCAAGTCAGGTGGTAAGGACCGGGGCAGATTTTCACCACAGCAAAACTAGATTCCCGCTAGATGTGTTTAAATACACCTCGACTATCTTTGGTAGTCATGGAAATGAGATCTTGAAGCATTTCACTGCGGAATTATCGAAGCCTCTCTAGTTTCCAGATCCTTCAGGATCCCCTACACTCCCTTTTTCGTGTGAAGGAGCGTTTCAAAATGGGTCTTAGAACGCCTTCAACACGTCCGGTGGCGGACAAGAGGGTGTCTAACACTTGTTCATCTTCAAGTTCTTTCGGCCCGCAAATCCGGCACAGACTGCATCTTGGACTGTAGTTAGAAGAAGGAATTTCTCGGGGAGGTGACTGCACACCCTTTCAAATAGTGGCGACATCGAATCGGGTCCCAAAGCGATCTGGATCCAAATCAATTTTGCTATTGTTCGCCAAATCAATTGTTAATTTAACAGATTGCTTGGGGCTGGGGCAAATTTTCACCACAGCAAAACTAAATTCCTCTAGGTGTATTTAAGTACAGTCTGACTATACTCGTCATTATTGTGAATGTAAATGGGCCCTTGGGGCTTGTGTCAAAAATCGGCCCTCACGAAAACGCCTCAATTGTCTCGGGCACATGCTGCCACCTTCCGCGCTCCCGGCTTTCCTAGCTTCCAGGTTGAATTCCCGCCGATCTCTCCACCAATCACGAGGCGCCAGCTCATTTCAATCGCATTGCAAGAACCCGAACCACAGCCAGATTGGTAGAATCTGACTCCGGATCGCCACAAAGTTTGTACGAATTTCTCTCGAAAAAAAACGGCTTATTTGGCACGTCGTGTTGGCACTGAATAGCCTATCAATCTTGGTGTTTTCGTTGAGCGTGTTGACCGCCCACAATGTGTTGCCTTCGCGAGAGCCCCTAGCCAATGATGGGTGAAATGCAGGCTTAGGCAAACACACACACGCACACACCTTTCGTATCGTTAATTTACTGCTAACACGAGATTTTTTTCTCTCTACTCCCTGTACATCGTGGTTTTTTTGTTTCTTGGAACAACTTTAGCCGGTAGTATGCAGGGTACTTTGCCTTATCGATTCCTGGGAGTCCTTCTCTTTGTTCCGCATCAAAACACGCCTTGAAATGGCTTCTTCTGCCCCAATTGTAGCCAACTCTTCCCTGACGGTTCGGACGCCTTCGAGGACGCCCTGATTGTGCTGTTGCAGCGACACTGTCGCGTCGTTGTCGACGCCTCGCTATCCTGCCTCTCCACCATTGTCAACCGCCTCACCAAGAATTACTCGCGCGTCACAACCTGCTTTGCTCAGTTTTTCGGTGAGCGATCGCCTTTTGTTTGCCTAAAGTTGTGATGTTTCACCAACGCGTTTTGCTCAAAGTAAATTTATGCCTTCGTGCCACTAGAGACTACTATTTATTAAGAACTACACCAAGCTAGATGCGTGCGCGCGTGTGTGTGTGTGAAGGAGAGAGAAAGTATTTGCGCACATAATAGATCAGTAGCTTGTCGAAGCACCACCCCAATGGCGCCGCAGCGCATCAAGTCGGTTTGCGTGGGAGAATTTCGCTGCTTCCTTCTTTTCACGCCTCTGCGATGCCTAATGAAGCGGCTTTACGGGTGGCGGGTTCGATTCTCGCATCAAGCCAGCCGATCCATCCACTGAGGCCCGAGATCGCTGGCTTAAACACGAGCCAGGAGGTGGTGGTGGTGGTGGTGGGTTGTGCTCTTTGACCATAC